TTACCTCCTAGATACAAATCCAGTTCTTTGGCTGTGTGATTGTGTGAGGAACAGTGGACAGTGGAGTCAGACCAGAAAGGATTAAAGCTCAACTCTGAGCTGGGGATACAGATCAGGGATGGAGAGCACACATGGTCCCATGTCTGCATGTCTGAGGTTCTGGGTCCCATTAGCTGGGGGAGAAAGGAGAGAGAGAGAGAGAGAGAGAGAGAGAGAGAGAGAGAAGTAGTGAGGGAGGGAAAGAGAGAGGGAGAGAGTTCACCTCTCTGCCACAAGGCAAATTACCCAAACTCTTAGTCTCTCTCACTTCCTAATTTTTTTTTCTTTCTGGGTCACATCCAGCAATGCACAGGCATTACTCCTGGCTCTTCACTCAGGAATCACTCGTGGCTCGTGGCAGTGCTCGGGGGACCATATGGGATGCTGGGAATCGAACCCGGGTCGGCCACATGCAAGGCAAATGCCCTACCCGCCTCCAGCCCCTCACTTCCTAATTTTTTAAAAAAGGATAACAAACAAACAAAAAAAGTGGGGAGAGTGCGGGGGTGGGGAGCAGGGGAGCTAACAACCTCTACTTTGTTGTTTTGTTTTGTTTTTGCTTTTTGAGTCACACCCGGCAATGATCAGTGGTTACTCCTGGTTCATGCACTCAGTAATTACTTCTGGCAGTGGGGACCATATGGGACGCTGGGAATCGAACCCGGGTTGGCTGTGTGCTATGCCCTACCTGCTGTGCTATCTCTCCAGTCCATACTTTGTTATTTTGAGAACAAAACAAACCCCTCAAAAGTTGTTCCTGGACCTGAGAGAGAGCTCAATTGGCTCAGCACACACTCATGCACAGGTCTGTGGTCAGTTCACAGTACCTGAGCACTGGGATTGACCACATAGACACAGAGAGAGAGAGAGAGAGAGAGAGAGAGAGAGAGAGAGAGCGCCAAGTGTGGTTCCAAGCCAAAAACAAACAAGAAAATTGCTTCTAAGATATGCAAAGAAATAAACTCAGGGGGCTGGAGCGATAGTTCACCAACAGGGCATTTGCCTTGCATGCGGCTGACCTACGTTGGAACCTGGCACTCCGTATTGTCCTCTCACCTTGCCAGGAGGGATCACTGAGCTCAGAGCCAGGGGTAAATCCTGAGCGCTGAGGAGTGTGGCCCAACCCCTCATCACCAAAAAAGAAGAGAAGAAGAAGTCAACTCAATCATCAGGAGGCTTTACTTAGCATTCAGTGATTCCCTGGCCTTCTGGCAACCCAAACCCTCTAGCCCGCCTCAAGCCAACCCACCTGTCCTGCCTTCCTGCTCCACGCACACACCTGAGCTCCCTTCAACCAAGGGCCTCTGCATCTTCGCAGGGCTCACAGTGTCACTCCTTCCACGTCCTTCCTATAAGTCTGCTTTCTGTCAGTGGCCCAGGCACCCCACCGCCTGTCTACACTGCCATCTGACTCATCCCAGGCAAGTCATGACCATCTCCTGGCTCAGGACTCTGTATGTGTTCCTAGCTCTGAAAGGTGCTGTTCAGATCAGTCAGTTGGCAAATGCTGTTAAAAGAACCCACCTCTCCAGGGGCTGGAGCCATGGTACAGTGGGTAGGGCACTTGCCTTGCATGCAGTCCACCAGGGTTTGATTCCTGGCATTGCGGGTGGTTCCTGAGTATCACCAGGAGGGATTTCTGAGTCCAGAGTCAGGAGTAACCCCTGAGCATTGCCGGGTGTGGCCCCCAAACAAAAAACAAACAAGAGGATCCGCTCCCCCTCAAAGAAACTTGATTTCAGTTGTTTTCTCTGTTTTTTTTTTTTTTTTTTTTTTTTTTTTTTACTAAATAGTGCTTGACCAGGTGTGTGGTATCCACAAGGTACTGTGCAGTCACACCTGTTAGGGTATCCTGGGAGCTCTGGGTTCCTGTTTTAGTTGGTCGAATGGGGAAGAGAACAGGACACAGATGAGGACCATGCCACGGATGACAGTGAAACTGGGTAGTCATTTGATTCATTGTTTTCTCTTGGAGAAGTCTGATTTAGCTATGGGAAGAAAACAGATCATCAGTGTCAGCTCTTTCTTTCATGACCAGGCCGATCAAGAAAGGGACCGTCCTTTAACTTTAAAGCTCTCTGTGTCTTCCCTTCCTGCAGCCTCCGCCCCACTGCCGCAAGGGGGCTGATCGCTTGCTAATCTGTTTTTCTTCCCTTAGCATCAGGCTTGCTCTTGGCAAACACTTGAAGGCACGCAAACACCGCAAGGAGGAACATTGTCAAATGAAGGGCCAGAGAAGAAGGGGAGGTCTGGAGAGCTGTGTTACCCCCGCTTTGGGTAAACGATTCGATTTTGCGTTTATCAGTTCCGGAGCTGAAAGGGTACGGGAGAATTTGGAGGCAAGATTTTCTTTACCCCCATGGAAAATTTCAAAAAGTGCCAGAAGGTCCATATCCTCCTGAGGCCCAGCACGACCCCCACCCTCCAATCCAGTGCCGGCTCCACGAGCCCCGCCTTTGCTGAATCAGTGCCGCGTGGCCGAGACCTCCCTGCCCCGTGGGGGTCCGCGGGGACCGTCCGCCGCTGCCTGGACTCGGGCCAATCCTGCCCGCCCCACCAGCCTGCCAGCCAGTGTCGGGAAAGCAGGGGGCGCGCGGAGTGCAAGAAGGGCGCCCGGCGCGGGATGGTATAAAGTGGGTCCGAGGGGGTCTGGTGGTGCCACCTTGGCGCCCCCTGCCAGTCTAGGTGTGGCTGGCGACCTCTTCCTCCCCGGAGCCCGGATTCTAGGTTGCGCCCTCTGATTGCGCTCCGCTTGCTCACGTGCCCTGGTGCCAACTTGAGCAAACGGAGCGGGGCGTTCGGAAACTCGCTTCCCCCACTAAGATCCGGAGACTCGCTGGGTCGTCCACGAGAACAAGGGGAGAGGAGGATGCCCAGGGCCGGGAAGGCCCAGGGGGTGGAGAGCAGACGGGAAGACGCGCCCGGAACGTGCAACCGCCTTTCCCGAAACCCTGCGCCCCGCGCGCCGCTCCGCGCCGCCGGCTCCGGCCTGGGGCCGCGCTAATGAGCCCGTCTGGGGCAAGGCCCGTGCCAGCCGACAGGGCTCTAGGCAAGCGGCCAGCTCGCCGGGCTGCGGGCGCCGAGAGGGGCCCCGTCTCAGTCCCTGGGGGCCCGGCCTGCAAAGTTGGCTCAAGTTGGAAACAGCGGCGCCCGCAGTTGACAATCCACCCCAGTTCTGCGCTCGCCTCTGGCCCTCCGCGGACGTGGCTCGGCGCCTTTGCTGCAAACGTGCTCCCCACTGCACTGTAGCCACAGAGGACGAGGACACGTTTCTGGACGCCTCTCTGCGTGCCCTTCGTTATTTTTTAACCAGTACGGTCCCCCGAGTACCTAGGATTACGGAGGCCCTAGGGGCCGGGCGACCCTGCTCTCCCACCTCCCAAGCCTGACTCTGCGGAAAACTGCTCCCCCAACTCCTCAGCCTTTCCGAGCCTCGGTGTACCCCTCCCCAAAACGGGGATAGCATCGCGTACTCCGTGGGATGTGGTGAGCCAGGTTGCGCGAAGAGCTTTTCTAATCCCGGCACCGTAGAATTGCTGGGCCCAAGAGGGCGCAGCCGATTTTGTTCGCCTGTCCTCGGGCGTTTAGGGACTGTGCACTGTGCCAGACAGCGGCGGCAGAGGCTGCATATTTGCCAAAGTATTTCTGGAGTATTTCTCATTTCCCGTCGCCACACTGTCCCCGAACTCTGCAGTATTGAATAACATATTTTTTTGGGTCCCTTTCAGAGCTGCCTTTTTGCATTATTTACTGGAAAGGGTTATGTACACAGTGTTTTCAATGTGACTGTTTACATAACTATATCATTCTCTCTAATTACAGCTCTAGTCTGCCCATTATAAATCTTTCATCTTAGCGAGTTTTATAATGTAGGACGTGATAACCCGCAGGGACAGCCGTTATTAAAACCCGGGACTTGCTGCTTACTGCAGCGGCTGGAGGAAATTCGTATGCCCGGGCAGGAGCGAAACTCTCCGGGCGAATTTTGAGCGTGCTGGTTGCTAGGGCAACGTCTGGATGCGGACGTCGCAGTCCCGCGGGGAACCGGCAGGAGCAGTGGGCGGAGTTAGGCAGGGAAACGGGACGCTAAGGGGGGGGTGCGCGTCCTAATTTTCCCTCCAGGTGGCGCTATAGGATCGCGGATGCAGTCCCGCGGCGGGACGCCCCTCCGCAATAGACGCCAGCGCGGGGCGGGGTCAGGGCTGGGCGTGGACCTATGACTGCGGTCTGGAAGGGTTGGGGGTCCAACATTAGGACTTTCTTACGTACCTGCAGAAAATGTACATTACCAGAGACAGAGACAGGGGAACGGGTCGTTTGAGGACGGGGGCAGAAGACAGAAAGACATTTCCATCCCTTTCCTTTGCTCCTTGGGATCCTCCTCCACCCTTCTCTATCTCCCACCCGCAATATTTCACATCCTCCGGAGCGCAGTGAATGCCCAGAGCACAGGTTTTGTACGCTGAGCTCTGAGCGATGCTTTCTCGCCCCCGGCATCCGGGCCCAGTCATGGCAAGCTCTCGGGGCTCTAGTGCCCAGGGTATATGCCAGGTTTGGAATTCCGCAGTCTCGGGCATGCCAAGAAAAACAGGCAAGCTGTTCCTCAGTTTGTCCAGAGGAAGCCTTACCCCTTCCCTTCTGGAAGCCGGGAATGGAAAAAGTGACTCAAATGAATCCCCAGCGGAGCCACCATATGTGTACCATCTCTCAAAGTCTTTTACCCGGATGTAGGCACTCTTCTGGGGGATTCTTTGTTTCCCCTCCCCCCCCATATGCACCAATTTTACTCTTTCCGGGTCACAATACCGTAGTCAGTGTTCCCCACCACATAGGGCGCTCCTGGTATCCGTGTTGGGTCCCCTGACTATGTTAAAGTGTCCCTTCCCCTTGACACTCCCCCTCCCTTCCTCAGACAGGAGGATACACCCTGGTACTGGGCACAGGACAGATGATGAGTCACAGAAAGTGCAGAAGCCTTTATTAGAAACACACTCACACACTTCCCAGGCCAAGAGGGAGGGAGCCCACTGGCAGACAAAGGCAGGTTTAGTATCTAAGCCGCTGGGGTCAGGAGTGGCCCAACGGCTGAGTTAAGGCAGCCCAACTGGTCACAGCCCAGTGGCAGGGCAGTGAGAGGGGTGACACCGCTGAAGCCAAACCTGTGCAGCTCTGAGTACTGGCTGGACACCTGAAGAGTCAGTCCTGGAGGGGGTGAAGGACAGCACCGGGGCTGGTCTCTCCATTCCTTGGGACATTTAAGTTTTTGCTGGCACTGGGGGAATGGCCTGGGGCAGGGAGTTTTGAAGGGACAGACTTCACTTCAGCAATGACCACTTAATTTGTTCCTTGGCCGACTGAAGAACCTGTGTTAGGAGAGGGTGATGGAAAAGTGTGTCAAGGGGTGAAACACTGCAGTGTGAGGAGGGGGTCTGGGGCCCACTTTCTTTAAGGGTCCCTGCAAGCTCTGGCCACTAGGTGGCAGCAGCTGCTCTCCGCCAGGCTTTAGGTGGGGCGAGGCCTTCCTGAAGGAGAGCGGCCCAAACTGGCTGCAGCCAGCTCCCAGCCGGAACCGCCCTGCCCAGGGGCTGGGACGTCTGCAGCACTGGGCGTGGCAGCCGCCTCCTCTCCTCAGTGGCAGGGCTGTTCCTGCAGACTTCCCACTTTCAAAGCCATCGCTGGCACCCACCCCAATCTGCTTTTGATGTGGCACAACTGGCCTGGACTCTGCCACTGGACACCTGAACTCAGACCTGAACTAGGCCAAGCTTACACAAATCCATAAAACTGCACATACACAATAGAGACATGTGGGCACCCAGGGATGTCCCTCTGGTTGTCCCTCCTGGCCACCAAACCTCACTTTCTTTCTTTCTTTCTTTTTTTTTTTTTTTTTTTTTGCTTTTTGGGTCACACCCGGCAATGAACAGGAGTTACTCCTGGCTCTGCAGTCAGGAATTACTCCTGGCAGTGCTCAGGGGACCATATGGGATAATGGGAATTGAACCCGGGTCTGCTAAGTGCAAGGCAAACACCCTACCCGCTGTGCTAACGCTCCAGCCCCAAACCTCACTTTCTTCCAAAGCTGCATCCCACGTGGATATCCTTTCCTCGCAGAGGGCTTCCCCTGGGGTTCTCCCAAGTCTTTGAGCCAGAGCCTCACTCTCCCTCATTTCACCTCCCATCCACTACCTGCAACTTCCTCAGTGTTTGTCTTGGCTCAGGAATTCCATTAAAGGTGCAGTGTCAGGGGCAGGAAAGAATTCAGGGCAGGAGAGAATAAGGTGGGTAAAGTGCTTGCTCTGCCTGCCACCACCCCAGTTTTGATCCCTGTCACCATATATGGTCCCTGGACCACCAGAAATGATCCCAAATTTCACAATGCCCCAAGCGCTGCCAGGGGTGGAGGAAAGTCTACATCTTCATTCTCTCTCCGCCTGGAAACATGGGACTGGTCCTGTGTTCGCACATTCAGTTTCTTAATCACTGTGGGGAGGGTCCTGTAACCTCCCTAGCCTCCCTGGGCCCTGAGCGCACACCAGCAGGCAGAGGCGGCCCTGGGAAGAAGAAAGTCATAGGAAAGTGGCCCCATGTCAGGGCCCCTCAGGCCCACGCCCTCTAACCACCACAGCGGGAGGGATTAGCACAGGACAGGAAGCTCCACAAAGCAGGATTAGTCGGGCAGAGAGACCTGTGGGCAGACAGAGCAGAGGTCAAGCAGGAGCCTGAGAAGCAGGGGGTCAGGACACAGGTGAGGTGCCTGGCCCTGACCCCCAGAGAAGACTGTGCAGGGGAGGGGTTTGGCAGGAGTGGGCTCCCCACCCCTCAAGGCCAGCCAGCAAGGGCCCCTGCACCAAGCAGGGAATTCAGGGCAAACTTATTTGGTTTCCTTTCAGGGTAGAGGGGCATGTCAGGGACCTGACCCACCCACACCCCGCCCATGTCTTGGGGGACAAGTGCTGCTACCCAGCCATGTCCAGGCTGGGAAGTGGTTCTTTCGGTGCAATAATCCCAAGCAGGAGATGAGGTGGATGCTGGTAAGGCTCCATCATTTATTAATACCAAGCCCCACCTGGAAACAGTCTAGAAGCTTCTAATGATGTGCTCCAACAGATGGCCTGGGCCTGCCTCACCCCTTTTCCCTGCGCCCTGACTTTTCAACCCTGACGCCCCCGAGACCCCGTCTGGAGTGTTCTCTCCTCCCTCTAGCTTATTTCTGGCCGAGATAGACGCGGCGGGTGAGTGGGTGAGTGGAGGGCCTACCTGGGCCACGCTCTGTTCAGTCAAGCCGCTGTCGTCGGTCTGCAGGCAAACAGTGAGAAGGGGGTCAGGCCGGGGATGGGGCATTGGGTGCAGAGAGAGGTGAAGGAAAGGAGCTTGGGGTGGGAGCTGTGAGATGGGCATGCGGTTCAGGGTATCCAGGCCTTACCTGTTGATTGGAAGCAGGGCCCTAGCCCCCACTAGGGGCCAGTCCACGGGAGCAGGAAGGTGAGAGCAGGGAGGGGAAGAAAGATGGAGGCAAGGTTTCCCAGAGACCCCAGAAGCTAACTGAGGCAGGGAAGGTCTATCCACAGCCCCCACCCTCAAACCCAGCACCTGGTATTCCTTTGAGGAGGAATCCAGCTGCTTCTGCAAAAGCTTCGGCCCTCCCAGCCCTGGAGCCCCCTGCCCCACCCCCACACACAAGGAGGACAGGAGTTGGTGGAGGTGGGAGACGAGCCTGGAGGTGGCAGGGGTACCCAGGGGACCTTACCCTAAAATTCACTTTCTGGACCACTTGCTGGGGGTCACACTCCAGAATCACACTGCAAGGTAGGAGAAAGAGCAGGAGGAAAGGGGGTAAGCATAGCTCCCAGGCGCCCCTCTCTGCTGCACCTCTTCCTTCCCCCTCCCCTGCAATATCTGCCTCTAGCTGCCTTCCCTGGACACCCCCTTATCTCACTGGGCTTCTCTGTGTTGCACACCTGCTGCTCACACTTTTCCTCCACACTGGGTGAAGGGGGTCTAGTGCAAATCGGGTGAGGGCAGCACAATCTAGAAGGACCCAGTGTTTGTGAAATGCAGACTCAAATTCTCAGAGGACTGGACTTTTTATCTCCTGGGTCTCGGGGTGAATCCATGCTGTGAAGGAGGGGGACCCCTTGGGGCCCTGTCTTTTCTCCCACTATGATGTTACAGGCCATGCCTCAGAGATGAAATCTCCAAAATCTATCTATTCTGCCAGGATCTTTTTTTTGTTTCGTTTTGGAATCACATTTGATGGTGCTAGCCTTCCCACATGCAACACATACATACTGACCTTTTGCACTCACTCCCCGGCCCCTACTTTCTTTTCTTGTTATTTTATTTGGGGGGTGGGGCACACTCAGCAGTGCTTAGGGTTTACTCCTGGCTCTGCACTCAGGAATTACTCCTGGCGGTGCTCAGGGGACCATATGGGATGCTGGGAATCGAACCCATGTTGGCAGCGTGCAAGGCAAACGCCCTACCTGCTGTGCTATCACTCCAGACCCCCGCCCCTTTCATTTTAAAAACATTCAAATATCAAGATTTTTCTTAGCTAGCAGCAAGCACCCTTGTGATTCCCTGAGGGCGCAGGGTGGGGGCTAGGGGTGTAGGGGTGCAGTGTGATGTGGCTCCCTCGGTGGGGGTGGGAGAAGAGGACTCCTCTCCCAGAGGACTCCCTCCAGACAGACATCAGTTTCCCTTGGACCCAGAGCCCAGAATAAATATTCCTTGAGACCCTCTGCCTGGAAACCCCCTGGGCTACCCTGACCCCATCTCTCTCACCAGAGGAGCTTTAATCCAGGACAGGAGCACCCCAGGCTCACACTTCCTGGAGGGAAACCCGAACAGCTCAGGGGAAGGGGCAGGGCCTTCTGGGGACCAGACCAGGAGTTTATAAGCTCACATTTCAGGCATCCACCTTGCACAGCTTCTGAGGCCAGGGAGCTTTGAGCTCATTTTGTCTTTGTTTGTTTGGTAATCAGGGCTTACTTTTGGCTGTGTGCTCAGGGATCACTCCAGGAAGTGCTGGGGGACTATATGTGACTATATGTGGTGCCTGATCTAACCAGCTCAGTCAATGTAAGGCTAGTGCCTTGACCCCTGCACTGTCTCTCTGGCCCCCCACTTTGCGTTTGTAACTATGTGTGTTTGCCTTAAGAAGGGTCCACCAAATTGTATGTACTTCTAGTTCCACCAAACCTGGCCTTTCCCCTCTTGTTCTGGAGTCCCAGTGATGAGCACAATATCTTGCAGGAGTGGCAGTGAGTTGCCCGGAGGAACCTGCAGTGCTGAATCTCCCAGACCCACCCATCCCAGCACAAGGTTGTACTGGGGCAAGTGCGTGACTCCCTGGGCCCACTTCTGTTTCTGGTCTATAAAAGAAAGGCTTTGACAAAGACACCTGGGGGATGGGAAGGTGATTAGTTTCTATTGTCCTTTTCCCAGAGTCAAAACTTCTCCCACCCCTCCCTGGAAATTCAGCCCCTGCAAAGGACTCCCAGCTTTCCCAGGAAAGAACATGAGGCCAGAGAGAGTATAAGAGTTACAGTGCTTGCCTTGCCTGTAGTCAACCCAGTTAAATTCCCAACATTGAAGGGAAATGAACAACTCGGGGGAAGGAGCCTTCTGAGGACCAGACCAGAAGCTTATGAAGCTCACATTTCAGGCATCCACCTTGCACAGCTTCTGAGGCCCTGGACTCTGGAACTCATTTTGTCTTTGTTTGTTTGGTAATCAGGGCTTACTCTTGGCTGTGTGCTTGGGGATCACTCCAGGAAGTGCTGGGTCCCCCAAGCACCACCAGGAGAGGGCTGGCCACTGAACACAGAGCCAGAGGAGCCCCAGAACACCACCTGGTGTGGCCCCAGATGTTCCCCACCCAGTTTCTTTTAAAAGGAGAGAAGTGTAATTATGGGAGGCAACAGCTACTGAACACGGTTCACAGACTTCCCTGTATCTCCTCAGCCCTAGAAGGGAGCCCCCTCAGCACTCCCTGGGTGGGGGAAAAGCTCAGGAAGTTCTACCCTCATGGGTGAGGGTGTGTTGGGCCAGGCAAATGCTCAACGGGCTTGAATGCAGACTTTGTCACAGAAGACCCGGGTTCTAGCCCCTGTACCACATGGTCCCTGATCACTGCCAGGCATGACCCATGAACAGTGAGCTAGGAGCATCCCCTGAGCACTGCTGGGTGTGGACTCCTTTTTTAAGGGTCTGGAGTGTATGTTTTGCATGCAGGAGGCCCAGGTTTAATGATCAACACTGCATGATCCCCAAGCACTGCCAGGAACAAACTCTGAAAACTGAGCCAGGAATAGCCCCTGAGCACCACTAGCTATGGCGCCCACCTCTCCCCAAAAGGAAGGCTATATGTTGTGCATGCAGGAGACCCTGGTGTTTATTCGTTTTATTTGAGGGCCACACCTGGATCACGACTCAGTGCACTCAGGGATCACTCCTGGCAGGCTGGGGGGTACTATATGGGATGCTGGATTTAAATTTAAGTCAGCTGCATGCAAGGCAAGTACCCTGCCCGCTGCAGTTGCGAAGACCCAGGTTTAATCCCTGGCACTGCACAGTTGCCCCATCACCTCGGGAAGCCAACTCAAGTGATGAGCCAGGAGTAGCCCCTGAGCATGACTAGGTCATGAGGCCCAACAAAAGATGGGTCCTGCAGAGGAAGTGGGGCTCTGTCTGTCTTCCCGAAGGGTGTATGTTTCTTTCGGCTGCTTCTCAAACACCCTGCCTAGTCGGCTCTCAGTTGCTGACTGAGGGACTCCAGCCACCTTTCTCTCATGCCTGACTTTAGATAACACAGAAATCAACCTCCAGCCTCATGAGTGGGGTGAGGGATGGGACCCCCAGGATGTGCCAACAGTGCTGGGTGCAATACAGCCCCAAGGATCACTGGCTCATCTTTTCTTTATCGCCTGCTCACCCGCCATCCACTATCTCGTCCACCACCAAGAAGGCCCCGTCCATGTTCTCCAGCAACCAGCGCTTCTCCACGTTCTTCCTGAAGAAAGATGCAAGTCCTGAGCATCTGTGCTAGGGTGGATCCTGCTAGCACGGGGCAGCCCTCTCTCCCCAAAGCCTCCCCAGGAAGGGCAGGGTGATGTGAGTCCTGGGAGCAGCATCATGTGAGGTCTGTTCCTTTCAGATCCCCTTTGCCTGACTCCCTGCCCCCACCCCCAGACTGGGCTTCAACTCTGAGTCCCCCTTGGCGGCATGGGGTATTTCCAGCTGTCCGAGAGGCTATTGCATGGCTATCGTCCTACTGCAATCAGTTATTTCTGGATTCTCTTAGTGAGACTAACCCAGGTCATGGTCACTGAGACAGACAGGCAGCATAGCACTGGATGGGGGTGCAGTAAAAACCACCCCAAGTTTCCAGTCAAATACCCTGAGTCTGAGGCCCTGATCTGTCCCCGCAGGTCAAGGGCTGTGCTCCTGGACAGGCAAGCCCTGGAATCACCTCTGTGGGATCTTGATCTGGGGGTGGGGGGTTCAGTTAAAGGGCAGCGGGCTGTGAAGGAGGCTCTGGCTCCTACTTTGGTCTTGGGGGGACTCCAAGAGAGGAGCAGGAGAGGAAAAGCTCCCTTTGTGATGAGCCAGGGGCTGGGGCTGGGGATCCAAGAGGGTGGGAACATCACTCACCTTAACATGTGGTTCAGGGACTCAAACAGGCAGGTGAGCACAGACATGAGCATCAGCTGGGGGTGGACACGGGAGCAAAAAGACCCAGTGTGAGACTGAGAAGCTGAGGGAGACTCGAGAGCGCACGGGGAGTGGGGACAGGGAGGCCTGTGTAGGGACCCGGCAGCAGGAGGGCAGAAGCCCTTCCCGCGCAGAAGCCCCTCCCGCGCATGCGCAGGGAAGCAGGGGGTATTATCCGCCCCCCCCCCCCCACACACACACACACACGGGAAACTCAGGGTATCCTCCGCGAGGGCTGGTTAAATAAAAATCCAGGACTTTCTGCATCCCAAGAACCTCAGGGGAATCATGGACACGTGTTGTCCCACAGAGAATCATTCTTGCTGCTCCCCTCCCCCAGAGTCTGCAAGGGGGGGACACCAAGGCTGGACGTTTCCACCCCAACTCCAAGTCATGACCCCAGAGACCTACAGAACTCACCTCATTCTCGTGGGATGAGCCCACCACGTACAGGAAGAGATCAATGCTGCTCTTGTAGACGATGGTCATGCCCCCCAAAAATGCGATCTCAGCTAGAAGAGGCGGGTGGAAGCTTTGGACTCTGACCCCCCTGCCTGGCCCCAGCTCCAGCCCCTCCCTTCGGCCCTTTCAAAAGGATGCTGGGATAGTGGAGCTGCAGGGGCACTGCCATTGGCTCCTGTGCCCCCCCCCCACCTCACTCTGAGGGGTCTACACACCCAGGTCAAGTCTAAGCTCATACCCACCCGCCCTCCCCTACCAAGTGCCTGGGGGCAAGCCCCAGGGGTGGGAGATCCAGTACTGGATGAGCTGGCACAATGGTGGGGGTGGGAGGGGAACATGGCTGGCTGGGATGGTGGGGAACAAAGGTTCCCTGGGGGTGGGGGAGGCAAGAACCTCTGAAGAAAGAGACTGGTTGGTGGGTGGGAAAGGCTGGTGGGAAAGGCCAGTGTGAAAGGTGTGTCCAGATGGGGCAGGTTGATGACATGAATCCAAAACTTTGGGGGGGTGACCAGCCTTCACTTACTGTCAGTTCGGCTGGTTTTGCTGAAGACATTTTTCTCGAAGACCAACTGCTCCTTCATGGAGGGGAATGTGTCATCATAGTACTAGGAGAAAGGGAAGGACAAGAGGTCACATCCCTTCTGCAAAGTCTGACTCCTCCCTAGAGGAGTGGTGGGAATTGGTGGGTGTTCCCCAGGGGACGCTGAGCCCAGGCCCCAGCACTTTTTCCTCTTATCGGTTTGTATTTTTTGGGGGGGGTCACGCCCAGTGATGCTCAGGGGTTACTCTTGACTCTGCACTCGGGAATTATTCCTGGCGGTGCTTGGGGGACCATATGGGATGCCGGGAATTGAACCTGGGTCAGCTGCGTGCAAGGCAAATGCCCTACCTGTTGTAGTATAGCTCTGGCCCCTCCTCTTTTTTGGCGATGTTCAGGAGCTACTCCCTGTTCAGTGTTTGAGGCTCAAATCTGGGGCTCCCGCATGCTCAGGCTGTTGAGCCCTCTCCCTGGTCCTACCTCTGCCCACTATGTACTGGGAAACACTCATCCTAAGTGCAGACATTCGTCAGAAGCTTTTTTAGGCTCTCTTTTGAAGGCTCGGCAGCTGTGTGGGTACTAAGGTGGGGTGTGCCCACGGCTCCACTGTTCCAGCCCTTGCACCAAGGACACTACCATTTCCTGAGTGCTTCTGACCATCTTCGCTGAGTCCAGGAAAGAATGCAGAGCCAGAGGTCCTCTGTCACAACAATAATCAGTACAACAGGCCGAAGAGATAGTGTGAGAGGGGAGGTATCTGCCTTGCTAAGGGCCAACCCTGGTGCGGTCCTGTGCATCTCAGTACGGCTGATCCCTGAGCACAGAGCCAGGAGTAACTCCTGAACACCACAGAGTGTGACTCACCAAAACAAAAGTTACAAAAAATTAATAAGTACAACAACTTTACTGTTCACATTGTATAGATGGGGAGAGGTGGTGTGAAGAAACTGGTAATAGCCCATGAGTGGCAGCAGGAAGGGGTGAAGGGGGAAGGGGAATGCTAGTACCTCAGGACACATTTAGGTACATACTACAGCGCAAAGTCAATGGGTTTTTGTTTGGCTTTGGTGAACCTCTCAATCTCTCTCTCTTTTTTTTTTTTTTTTTGCTTTTTGGGTCACACCCAGCGATGCACAGGGATTACTCCTGGCTCTGCACTCAGGATACCGGGAACTGAACCCAGGTTGGCCATGTGCAAGGCAAATGCCCTACCCGCTGTACTATCGTTCCAGCCCCTCATTTAAAAAAAATGGGGGGAGGGGGTCACACTTGGAGATGCTCAGGGATTACTCCTGGCTCTGCACTCAGAAGTATTCCTGGTGGTGTTCAGAGGGGCTATATGGAGTGCCAGGGATCAAACCCGGGCCACACATTTGCAAGGCAAACCTTACCCACTGTCATATCTCTCCAGCCCTCTCAATTTCTTAATCTTTGATTTGGGAGGAGGGGCAGGTTTTGGCCACAGCTGGCTGTGCTCAAAGTTACTCCTGGCTCTGTGCTCAGGGACCACTCCTGGTGGTGCCGGGGAGTCAACGCAAGCTGTCTGTGTGCAAGGCCAAAGTCTTAAGTCCTGCATTACCTCTCCAGTCCCCAATTTCCTACTCTGAACAGGGATGGGAGCTGATTCCATTAGCAATGCTGGGCTGTACTGTGTTCATGTGGTACTCAGGAAGCTGTGCGGTGCCAAGGATCAAACCTAGGAAACTGTGTATACCAGGAATGTACTCCAGCCCTTTGACCCCTATTTCCCTGGCCTCTGATCTGCCTCTTTTTATTTGTTAATTTAAAAAAATAGAACTAGTGATGCTGTGATGGTGGGAAAATATTAATACGGTGCTGGGGATCAAAACTAGGGCCTTAACATGTCAGGGATATGCTCTGCCTCCAGCTGCCCACTCTGATCCACATCTTTTGGTTTGTTTTTTGGCAACAGTAAGGGATGCTCAGAGGTCTGATCCTGGCAGTGTCCTGGGGACCATGCCATGCTACAACCTGAACCCAGGGTTCTAGCATGCAAAGGATGCACTCTACCCCTTTGAGCTACTTTTATGTATTTCCTGTGATAAGGTGTGCTCAGCTCAAGCATTTAATTTTCTGGATGTGGATTTACCCCTTAGTATCCCATCTGCAAACAAATGAGAATCTCCAGCTAGCTACTGCTGCAGTGTAAACACACTAATTAAAATGTCATGAAAACAAAGTTTTAGCCCCAAACAAATTTTTTAAAAATCTATAATGCATTTCATAGTCAGTTTAGAAAGAATAGCTGTTCTGTAGCTAATTGTGCCAAATGATAGATGTTTATTTTTTAATTTTCCTAGTTTGGTTTGCCAGGCCAACTTCCTCAGGAAGGTAACAGATAATTAAATGGTTGGGGCACTGAAAACCCACTCTGAGCTTCAAATAAAAATATCTGAGTTCATAAGGGCCAGAGAAGATAGTACAGCGGGTAAGGCATTTGACCCGCATGAGACCAATCCGGATTTGATCCCTGGTACCCCATATGATTCCCTGAGCCCTGCCAACAGTGATACCTGAGTGAAGAGTCAGGAGTAAGCCCTGAGCACTGCTGGTGTGACCCCAAAACAGAACAAAAAAATCTGAGCTCAGGGCTGGAAAGATACAGTGACAAGGAAGGCACTTGCCTTGTACTTGGCAGACCTAAATTCAATTCCCAGCATCACCAGGAATACAGAGTACAGAGCACAGAGCCAAGAGTGAGCCCTGAGTACCACTGATTGTGGCCCCAAAACGAAAAAAAAAAGGGAAAAATTTTGAATTCAGTTCTCTGTGCTGATATTAATACTTGGATCCTTGGCCCATTCATTTAGTGTCTCTGAACCAAATTTTCTTCATTGTGAAATAAAACAGCTGGGTTAGATGGTCTCTAAAATCCTAACTGGTTCTAAATTATTAGATTACAGACTGAGCATAGGAGCCAGAGCTATAGAACATCGGGTAGGGTGTTTGCCTTGCTCATTGCTGACCTGGGTTTGATCCCCACATCCCATATGGTCCCTCAACCATCACCAGGAGTAATTCCTGAGCGCAGAGCCAGGAGTAACTCCTGAGCATTGTCGGGTGTGACCCAAAAAGCCAAAAACAAACAAACAAACAAACAAAAATAGGCTAAGCAGATAGCTTAAAGGATTGAGCTCTGAACACACCACCAAGAGGGAACCCTGAGCACTGGGTTCAGAGTAACCCTAAGCACTGCAGTGCCAAAAACAAGACAAAAAATAAATCCCCGAAATGTTTAGCTCCTTCACAGGAAACCCTTGGGGGATGAACAGAATAACTTTTGTCCATCTAAGCTGAGCAGAGTGTAGGAGAAAGGGCCGTTTGGGGGCCTTGCTTCTTGGGGCAGTAGTACAGGTCTCCCGGGCCGGGGTGGGGTGTTACCTTGGCCAGTAGGCGGCGACCATCATTATCTAGGATGAAGACGGCCTTGATGGTGTAGAGGGAAGGTTCCTGCAACTGACAGGGGAGAGAGCTCGGTGGGCCCCCGACTCAGGCCCAGTCCTTGACTCTCTGGCAGCCGCGGGTCCCCGACGTCCATTTAGCCCCAGGTCCACATCAGCTCCAGTCCAACCCTGTGCCACCTGGGCCCGTCGCACGCAGATGTTCCACCGCGGCCGGTGGGCGCCGTGCCCACTGGGTGCAGAAGGTCCGTCCGGGCCCAAGTTCTGTCATGCACTGACTGCTCCAGGGCCCGAGTCGGAGTGTATCACAGAACCTGGGCCGGGGGGACTGCGGCCGCGCCGGGCCTCCTCCTTCCAGCTGGCCGGAGTCGGTCAGGGGCCCCGCACTCTCGGCGGGGTCAGGGTCGAGGGGGGTGGGGAGGGGGCGATCCGTTCCGGGGAGGGGGGGAACCGCCCCTCCGGGTCCCTTCTCAGCGCACTCTCAACCCACCCCCATCCTTCCCCCAGCTCTGCCCATCACTGCCCCCGAACTGATCCCAAACTTCAGTCCCACGTGCGCTCGCGACTCGGGACATCCCGGGAACTTTTCCTCGCGGGCTTCGGCCTGGCCCCCTCCCTGGGACCGCTCCACGGTGCCACCACTTTCAGGCGCGGGACGCACGACTGGAGAGTTGGCTGCACCGCCCCCCCTTGCCCCTCAGCTCGTCCCCCGTCCCCGGCTCCTGCCACCCCGGGCCCCCGGGGCCCTCGCGCTCCGTACCCGCGGCCCCGCGGACTCCCCCGCCGGGGCGGGCGGCGCCGGGTCCCCGGTCCGGGAGGCCGCGGCCCCCTCCCCCGGGTGCGGACGTGGCCAGGCCTCGGGCCGCTGCATTCCGCTCACAGCCTCGAGCTGACAGCGCCGCCCCGCCGCCCCGCCTCCGCCTCCGCGCAGCCCGCCCCGCCGCCCCGAGGGCAGCGCCCGCCCCGCGGCAGCCGCGCGAGAGTCGTCGGCCTCCAGCCCCGCGCGCCCCTCGGCAGCCCGGCCTCCCCCACCGCACCTCCCCCTCGCTCTTTCTGGGTTCCTTTCGATTCCTTGAAGCCCAGAGTCTCGGCGTCCCAGGATCGTCCCGGGAAAAGTCCCTCTTTCCCGTCCAGGCCTGTGGGTCAGTTTGCTCCGCGTCTGCAGGCTGTCCTGGGCCAGCCAGCAAAGCTGGAGAACGCTGATAAAGCCTAGTTTTTGTTTTAATTGCCTGCCTGTCTTTCTTCCTTCCTTTCCTCCCTTCCTCCCTTTCTCCCTCCATTACCCTCCTCCCCTTTCCCCTCTTTCTCCTTCTGCCGTCCCTCCTTCCTTTCTCCCTTCCATCCTTCCTTCTTCCCTCCCTTCCTTTCCCTTCCTCCTCACCCCTCACCTGGCAGAGCTCAAGGCTTATCCTTGGCTCAGGGCTCAGGGTGGTGCTGGGGATAGAACCTGGGCCAGCCATTGCAAGGCAGTCAGTCATCCTACTTGCTCAATTATCTGTCGCTCCCAGACCCTTTATTTTTTTTTATTATTTATTTCTTTTTTGCTTTTTGGGTCAAACCTGGCAATGCACAGGGGTTACTCCTGGCTCTGCACTCAGGAATTACTCCTGGCGGTGCTCGGGGGTCTATATGGGATGCTGGGAATCGAACCGGGGTCAGCCACGTGCAAGGCAAATGCCCTACCCTCTGTGCTATCACTCCAGCCCCTCCCAGAGCCTTTAACTCAGCAAGTGATCTGCCACTGATCTACATCCGGGCCACAAAGCCCAGTTTTCTCTCTTGCCTCCTGGGAAGTCAATGGACAGGTACTCCTTGGGACCCAGAAAGGATGTAGAAGGGAGGACAAAGGAGGACAGCTCAGGGAGACCCCTCTGTGCAGAAAAGAGTCCCACCCCATCCCACCCCAAACCACACATTCTCAACTTGGGGGGAAAAAGTGTCAATATGCCTTCCTGCTGCCTCCCACCCCCCCACCCCCACCCCACTTCCAGGCTTGAGCAGAAGCAAGACAGGTACAAAAAGCATAGGCTACAAAAGGGGCCCTGGGCAGTGGCTTTAACCCAGGTGGGTAAGGATGCTCGCAGGCAGATTTTCATTCACCTTGGGGTAATCTGCCAGTGGGGAACTCATCCCCCAGTACCAACCAAGAGGATGCTAAGTATCCACCCACCCATCATAACACCCTGCTTGTGCATTACATCCACACATTCATATATATTATCCCTATGGGAGGGAGGTGTAACTCCCCCACTCTAAGGGAAGGGAAAAGGGCTGTGTGGGGACTTCCGCTATACTGTCTAGAGGTGGAGGGGCTGGAGCAATCATACGGTAGCTAGGGTGCCTGCCTTGGCGCGGCTGACATGGGTTGGATCCCCGGCATCCCATATGGCCCCCCAAGCACTACCAGCAATGATTCCTAAGAGCAGAGCCAGCACCCTGTGTAGCAAAAAAACTAAACCAACCAAAAAAAAAAATTCAAAAATAGTTGTCTAGAGGTGGAAGCTAGACTTCAGACCCTGAAGTTTTCCCCTCTTGTCACAGCCTCTACGCTTGTGTTCTGCATTCACTCATCACAGATGACTTGAGTGGGGGTTCCTAAAGGGGAACAGATCTCATTCTTCAAATCTCAACGTCAAGGTCATCACCATAAAGCCCTATTTGTGGTGAGGGGGTTGAGGTATGGGGGCCATACCCAGCTGGGGAGTGGCTCCTGGATGTGGTGCAGGGACTCTGCAGTGCTGGAATTGTACTGGGGTTGACTGTACCAGAAAGCCCTTTCTGACAACCGCTGAGTGTGATTTGCTAGGGCCCACCTATCACATCCTCTAGCTCAGCACCCTCATTGGCTCTAATATTGCACCCTTCTCTGTCTCTGAATGCCACTTTCATGCATTTGTTTACAAACACAGACAGTTCTTTGCCCCAGTGGACCTTGACTTCTGTGAGGTCAGAGATCTTGCTCACAGCAGAATCCCTGGCGTCCCCAGTGCCTAGCAGGTGCTTACTAGGCGTTTGTTGGGTGAATAAATGAATACAGGAAGAAGACCAGGTACAAACATTCAGACTCCCTGTTTTTGTTTGTTTTATTCTGGGATCACATTTGGGGATGCTCGGGGTTATTCCACTGGTGCTTGGACCATGAAATGTGGGGGATCAAACCTGGGGCTCCCAAATACAAGGTATGCACTCCTGCCCTTTGAGCTATCTCCCAGCCCCTATGGACTTTTTTTATTTCAATTTCACTTGTGTTGTGGCCACACCCAGTGGTGATCTGGACTTACCTCTGGCTCTGCACTCAAGTACCACTCCTGGTGGTGCTTAGATCATATAAAGAGCCAGGAGCAGAACCCAGTTGGCTGCATGCGAGGCAAGCACCTTACCCGCTGTACTATCTCTCCAGCCCCCACACTGCCTACTTTATTTTTATTTATTTATTTATTTATTTATTTATTTTAGGGCTGGAGCGATAGCACAGCGGTAGGGTGTTTGCCTTGCATGCAGCCAACATGGCTGTCCCGAGTTCGATTCCTCTGCCCCTCTCGGAGAGCCTGGCAAGCTACCGAGAGTATCTCGCCCGCACAGCAGAGCCTGGCAAGTTTCCCGTGACGTATTCGATATGCCAGACACAGTAACAACAAAGTCTCCAATAGAAACGTTACTGGGCCCGCTCGAGCAAATCGATGAACAACGGGAGGGCCTTTACCTTTACCTTTTATTTATTTTGCTTTTTGGGTCACACCCGGTGATGCACAAGGGTTACTTACTCCTGGCTCATGCACTCAGGAATTACTCCTGGTGGTGCTCAGGGGACCATATGAGCTGGGAATCGAACCCAGGTCGGCCGTGTGCAAGGCAAATGCCCTACCCGCTGTGCTATCGCTCCAGCCCCGCACTGCCTACTTTAATAACTAAAATATACTTATGAATGAAACCATGTTTTATGTGCTGTACAAATACCTCTTACATACTTTATATGATCCTTGATCCTTTCTTGAGTTTCTGGGACAAAGCAGTAGACATAAAATAAACAAAGTCTGTCCCAGAGAGATAGGAAAGCAGGAAAGGTGTTTGCCTTGCATGTAGCTGACCTAACTTGCTTGTTTTTAATTTTTTGGGGATCTACACCTGGCTGTACTCAGGGCTTACTCCTGGCTCTGTACTCAGGGATCACTCCTGGCAAGCTCAGGGATGATGTGGGTTGTCAGGAATCAAACATGGTTCATTTGTACGCAAGGCAAGCACCTTCCCCACTGTGCTCTCTCTCTGGCTCCTCACCTGAGTTTTGATCCCCAGAATATGGTTCCCTGAACACCACCAAGACTGACCCCTGTGGAGGTAGAGCAGTATATAGTGGGTAGGGAGTTTGCCTTGCACATGGCCTACTCGGGTTCAATCCCTGGTATCCCATATGGTACTTGAGTACCTCTAGGGCTACCTCCGGAGCACAGAGCCATGAATATCCTTGAAGCACCAACAAGGGTGGCCCAATTCCTGCTTCCAATACCCATCTGGAGCCCAGGAATACAGCTCATGGTAGGGAGCATGCTTTGTTTGGTTCCCTGGTACTAAACAACAGTAACCGATTTGATTCTTTTAATGTCTTAGTATTTCTCTGAACTGGTCCATTTTTAGCTCATATTTATAAGGACAACAAAAAGCCTCAAGGGGAATTTGGTAGTGTGTGTTTGGCATATGGTATCCACAGTGGGAGCGCATTCAGCTTGTGGAAATTAGAAGGCAGGCCTGGGAAGATGAGGGATTAGGGAGCAGTGTGGCTCCTTGGGGGAGGCGAGGGAGGAGAAGATGAGAAGGCACTGGAGAGGAGCCTGGCATCTGGAGCTGAAAGACCAGGGGAGGAAGCTTACAGACTCCAAAATCCTCATCAACGAGGCCGCCCTCTTTGTTGCTATTGTAATCATAGCCAGGATCTCTTTACATCTTTAAAAAATTGGGGAGCCACCCCAGCAATGCTCAGGGCTTTAAGCTCAGGGATGACTCTTGGTGGGACTGGGGGACCATATGTTGTGCTAAGGATTGAACCCAGGTCAGAAACATGTAAGGCAAGTTCCTTACTCACTATACTATATCTCTCTAGCAACTCATTACATAATTTTTTTTGGGGGGGGGGTTGGTGATACACCTGGAGGTATTCAGGGCTTCTTGCTCAGGGATCACTCCAGGTAGGGATTCGGGGACCATATGTGGTACTAGGGGTAGAACCAGGTACGTTGTGTGCAAGGCAATCCACTATCCACTGAAATCTGGCCCTCTCTTTACATCTTAATGTGGCAAATAAATGAACTCAGAGCTTTCAAAAGTTGAACTTAAAAGAATTTTTCAAATTGAATTCAGTGAGATACACAGTTACAAAATTGTTCATGACTGAGTTTCAGTCATATAAGGTTCCAACACCCATCCCTTCACCACTTCACCAATGTACATTTCTTCAGTCCCTGCCTCTACTCTGTCAGGCACTTTTCTTCTCTCTTTCTAGATACTGAAAGGTTATCATGTATATCAAAAATTGAAATTTTTTTTTGGGTGACACCCGTCGATGCTCAGGGGTTACTCCTGGCTCTGTACTCAGGAATTACCTTTGGCGGTGCTCAGGGGACTGTATGGAATGCTGAAGATCGAACCTGGGTTCGCCGCATGCAAGGCAAACTCCCTACCCACTGTACTATTGCTTTAACCCCAAGTTGAATTTTTCAAGGAAGAGATTCTCCCTAAAAATGATTCTCCCAAACTCCCTCTGCAGATACCCCAGGACTCCTTTTCTTCGCCCACCTGCCATCCTGGAATGGGCCCTTAATAGGGATCTGTATGCACCGAGATGCTCAGTGTGCACACGTTCTGGGGCGTTGCCTTGGGAGCTCTTGGCCACACTCGGGAGCCTGCAAAGGCAGCTAAAGACTTGGAG